ATATATATATATATATATAACGCGCGGTAATTTAAACTTTTAAATTTATATAAGAAATATTAATATTCTTAGCGGCAGCACTAATTGTAAAGGGTTGGAGCGTTGAAAGGGAAGAGATACTACCGTGGCAAGCCACTCTTTTCTCGCACGAGGATGGTCAGTGGAGTTTCTTTTGCGGCGGCACATTGATAGCAGAACGCGTTGTGTTAACTGCAGGTCACTGCGTTTGGAAGACTGCTGCAGATACGATACGTGTCGCTTTCGGGATTCTCTCGAGTGACTTAAATCAAATAGGGGAAAACGCGCAAGTGATCGACGTGGAAAGCATCGAGTTGCAGAACGCGTATCAAGATCATGAAAGTAACTATGGTTCGGATATCGCGTTGCTGATTTTGAAAAAAGCTGTAACTATTAATACGGTTGTCGGACCAGTTTGCATTCCTTGGAATTCCGATGCGATATTACTGGAATATCAACGAAACAATGGGCTTGGATTAGTTGCCGGTAAATCTAAATTTTACATAAAAAAATCTGATAAAATTAGAGAATAAAAATATTGAGAAAATTAAATATTTTTGATCAAAAATATCACACATAATTTTTTTACTTAATATGTTCAATAAATTCTTTATGTACAAATTATTCATATAATGCATTTCTTTTAAAAGAAAAATAATTAATTCTACAAGTTTGAAGCTCACTAATTAAAGATAAAAAGATCTATGTTGCTAATTGTGATTGGCAACAATTAATAAATAAATTTTTTTAACAGTTTCTGGAACTTGAGATATTTTTCAGGTATGGGGCTAACGGAGAACGACACATTTAGTTCAGTCTTGAGGATAACTACAGTGAAAATCATTCCTGACGATGAGTGTCGTAAAAACCAAAATAGAGATTTTCGAAAATATTTGACTTACACTTCCTTTTGCGCCGGATGGGCGAATGGTACTGGAGTATGCAATGGAGACAGCGGTGGAGGTTTGGTACTTCAGCGACCGAATTCCAGTGTCTGGGAAATTCACGGAGTCGTTTCTGTGAGCCCACGAAAATTGGGTACCAACGTATGTGATCCGAATTTCTATGCTGTTTTCACAAAGGTATAATAATATAAATATCCTTATAAATGTTGAATATGTTAAGTTCCATCTATAATATATAATTTTGTCATCCGTAAATTCTTAAGTAAAATCTGTAATGCATTTTATTATATTTTTGATTATATTTTTTTTGTCACGCATAATAATTACATTAATTTTTCATTTATTAAATTAATAAATTATGTTATTTATAATATTAATAATTTACATAACTTATAATATTATTAGATTATATATTATTTTGTTTGATGTTTATTATAATTATATAGGTTTCTATGTACGTCAATTGGATTCATAAAATTATTGAGAGCATACCTACAATCGGCTTATCTAATTTTGATCAACAACCAAATAGAGATAACATTGTTGTTTAAGCGATCATAAACTAAATTGATTTCAATTATAATATATATTTAAATAAAATTAAACTATAAATGTTTGTTAACATAATATATAACATATATATTATGTTACACATAATTAATGTTATGTATTATGTTAAACATAATTATATAACATATTTTTTAAATTATACGTTCTACAAGTATATGTATTTATATGTATGCGTAGGCATACATATTAATTTAAAAAATTAGATTACTTATATTACCTAAATCATCGACCAGTACATCGTTTATTCATTAAATTACTACATCAAAATATTAAATGCCCTTTTTATTAGTATTATCCATGGTGTAAAGAACTCAGGTATGCCAATGTTTAAATGTTTAAATGATTAAAGTTCAAAATTAAATTTTCTCGATTTATTTATTTAACGTAATGTTATTTCTCTGGAAATGCAAAAGTTGTTTGGCATAAAGTGTGTAATGATAAAATAATGTAGATTAATTCTTTTTTGATTAAATAAAACTATAATCTTTATGTTAGATATAATATCCTATAATAAACAAAATTATTTTTCGAATGCAAAAAGTAAAATGTTTGAGTAAATTTATATTATAAAGAATTAAATATTTCATTTAGAATATAATCTTACTGCGTATTTGTGGCTGTGTACAACGCACTTTTGTTTACGTAAGATCGCCGACCTGTGCCGCGACGATGAGATTACTGTACGTGCTATCATTCACACTATGTTCAAGCAAGAAGGTAGTATGTTATATCGCTCCGGATTTTTATCTCTCGAAATACGATTGCTAATAATTCAGCAGTTCGCATATGTAATTAACTGTTGAGATTAATGATATATAAACGTATCGCGGCGACAACGATGACATGTTGAAGCAAACATCTGCATTACTTATTTATTTGAAATAAAATGCGTACGCAACAGAATGTAAAAATTATAAATCCCTGTTTTATTACTATTATCTTTTTAGTATAATACTTAGAATTCAATAAATCTCGTATATTGTGAATTTGAAAATAATTTATTTACTACTTTTTCTAGATTAAAAATACGCAGAACCGTACAAATTTATCTTGAAAACGAGCACACCTGACTTCCTTCCACCATATATATCCCTTTTTCCTCGGAAACAAAAGAATATTTTCTCTCGAACAGCAGAAATAAATAGCATGCCTATTGACAACATGTCAAATATGAAACAATATAAGATTTATAATTTTGCAAATATTAATTAAAGACGTGCATATTTAAATAATTGATTTGTCTAATCGGTAAATCAATCTTTTTAGTATAAATATTATAATTCCGTTTTAAGTCAGTATGATGGATCTTTCAACAACAATCGTAAGTATAATAAAATTAAAACGAGCAACATGTTTTAAGCTAGATACACTAAAACATACAAAATAGAAAAATGCGGATTTATAAACAAGATCAACTTTAATAAATCAGTTTTTTTTAAGAAAAAATAAAATACTTTTTAAAAAAAATTGATAAACTGTAATGTATTCGTACAATATTTCTATCTAATGCCATTTTCTGAATATATCGTTATGTCTTAATTTGTATATTAATATTACATCACAAAGTCGACCATTTCGATGCAAAAAGGACAGAAAATGCAGATAGCACCTATTATGGATGAGTCAGCAACAGGTATAAGATATGATGATGTATACATCTCACCGAGTCATATAAAATTCAGCGAAGCCTTCGAAGGAGTTGTGCATCGACAGCGTATTATTATCAAGAATGTCGGGTATAAACCAGCGCTTATCAGAATCTGCCCGCTAAATTCTATAGTAAATATGTTTAATCTGTGTAAGTCATAATTAAACATTTTAAAAAGTAAGCAAAATTCTCAATGATTATCATTTCTCGAAAGGCTTTTCAAATAAAAACTCGGAAAAGTGGAATACGAGTGAGTCCTGGATTAAGTATAACAACATATGTAACTTACACATTCAAAAGAGCATCTATATTGCGTGCAATAATTCCGATTGAGATCAATGGAAAGATTTTCGATTATCACGTAATATCTACTTTAGCCACCGAATATATCAACATCGAACCGAAGTCAGTTGACTTTGGCACTATCGATGTTGGCTATCCATCCACTTTAAAAATAGTAACAATTCGTAACGAAGGAAACAAAAGTACCAGGTATTTGTGGTATTTATAGAAATTTTTTGGATTTTATTAGAAATAAACTTGCATTAAAAAAGATAATATATTTTTTAAATTTTTATTTGAAAAATGTTTTCATGCTTTTTTTGATTTTTAATTAATTCTTTATCGTATAAAAGACAATAATTTTAGATTATGAAGATAATTTTTATATTGTCTACATAAAAGATGGATTAACTCTAATCAGATTTTCGTATAATTTATATTTTATTTAAATGAAAAATAAGTTTAAATATAAAATAAAGTTCGAGATAAATAGGTAAAAATATAAAATTTTCCAGATTTTCGATCGATCTCTGGCAAAATGATCTAGACTTAATGATAAAACCTCGTCGTGGAAGAATCAAACCACATAAAGAAATAATACTTCAAATTAAATTAATGAGCAGAAACGAAGGCATCTTTTATACCGAATTTTGGTAAAATATCTTTGCTGTTCGCCATCGTAATTTTTGTCATTGTAAGAAAGATTCGTATAAACTTTCTCAGGATTAAATCTACTCCAAATATACGCGTTCCCATCAAAGTGCATGTAATCGTGCCAAAATTAGTAGTTTATCATCCGAATTCAACTGGAGATTTTACCCTCATCAATTTTCCACCTACGATAGAAAATACCTGTAGGTTCGATACTTTTGTCCTGCGTAATCTTTCGTCTCGAGCATCCAGTTATGTTGTTCTTGGTGAAATTGATAACGAAGTAAAATGCATTCCGGTACAAAACGATTGTTACAAAAAAATTAGAAATTTTAGCCAGTAGCGGATTATCAAAAGCAATACTTAAAATGTAAAATAATATTGGTACTGTACTTAAAATATTTATGTCTAAAATTTATAGAAGATTATTTAAGTAGAAATGATAATAAATTTAATAAATTTGAGCAATTAAAATTATTTATTTAAATGCTATAAAAGTTCCTATCTAGAATTATTAAACATTTTGTTACAATATTAATAATTAATAGAAAAATTGAACGCAGGTAACTAAAGTTAGTGTGATTAAATTGGAATCTTTGAAATATACATAAATCTTATGTGATTAATGAATTTATACTCCGCCACTGACTTATGCTCTTAATCAATCTGATTCGGAAATAATGAGTAAGTTTTTACTAAAATTATTTTTATAGGATATCGATCGCAAACAACATCCAACTTATAGTATCTTTGAAATTCATCCGTTTGAAGGGCGAATAGGTCCATTTCAAGGTATCATCCTTGAAGTAAGGTAAGTCTAATGATTTCATTGTTGTATATTGTATAAAGCTATAAAAGAAATAAATATTTCACACACATACATTAAAAATATCTATTAATATATAATTCTAGATTTTCACCAATAAATATATTATCGCAACGAAGAAAAGAGCAAGAGCAAAAGCAATGGAGAAAATGTGAAAATAAATATCCAAATCAGAAGAATACAGATTTCATGCAATTTATTAGAATAGTTAGGGTACAATGTATCGAATCGGAAATTATCACGAGTGTGTCTCTTTTAGTTTATTTTGCATCGAAGTCAACTGAACAAATCTTTATTTAAATAATGTTTCTACAGGGATTGATCCTATAAAAGATATTTCAATGGATAATTTCACAAAACAGTATCACAAAACAATATCACAAAAAATTTATATACGTGAGTAATTTTTTTTAAACCATTTAACATCTTATAAAGTTTATTAACATATCTTTATGCTTATTTTATACATATAAATAACATCTTTAGATTATTTTTCTTGGACTTTTTGGATAACTTCTTGGGTAATTAATTATTTTGTTATACATTTTAATAGAAGACCCAATGGAAATTTCATCCGTGATAATGTCCTACACATCAAGTATTGATTCAGAAATCTATGACGCAGTAAAGCTTTATCTTTACGGTGAAGTGGAAGCGATACAAGTACATTTTGAACCTGATATTCTTTATTTTGGAGACCTAATTGTCGGCCAGATATCGCAGCGCGTGCTTCGTCTGACAAATCCTTCTGCCGTTGCACCGATATATCTAGAATGTGCGCCAAATGCGGCTGTACGCTGCTATCCGAAGTGGATGAAACTTATGCCAAAAACGTCGACCGAAGTTCTTGTTAAAATTTGCGGCAAAGAAAGCAGTAATTATTACTGCTCTTCTATTTCGTTAACACGTTGACTCATTTGCGTCCTCGAATTTTGTATTTCGATAAGTTCGAAAGGCTCTATCTTATGAATTTATTTTTACAGTTGAACCTTCCTTCAAATTGTTCTTTAATGTCGCAGCAGATTCTTATGATTCGATTGTATCCAAACGATGTTTCGGTAGAAGAAAAATTGGAAGTTACTTTATTGTATGCACGGTGAATATTATTTTCAAGTCCAAAAAGGGACTTTTAAGTAAGCTTATGTTAAGTAGTTCAATCAATTAAAATTTGAATTCTTCAAAAATATTTTTAAAATTGAATCGCTTTTTTAATTTTTAAAGGTAGAAAAAGTTTGCCAATAAAAAAAATTGACGAAGACGAGGAAATTATGAATCGCCTTTTAAGTTTACCCAAATGGAAGCTGTTATATAAAGATTATTCGCAAATGTGTAAATTTACAGAAAACGTAAAATCTTCGCTCAAGAAATCGATTTTCGCAACTAAGGCAGCTGTACTAATACCTTTATCGCCTTTACAAATATATAAAGTCCACATTTATCCAACCACTTTCGTCCACTTTGGAATGGTAAGTAATCCAAAATATGGTATAGAGATTCATAAAATTGATCAGATGTTTTTAAAATCACTAAAAATTGCTTCGTAAACTTATTTTAGAAAAAGATTTTATTTTTTTGTCAGAAGATAATGTATAAGTATTATATAAACGCTTATTTTTAATGTCTGCTTTTTTTTTCATTTCTCCCCTTTTCTCTTTTTCATTTATTCCTTCTTATTATATAAAAAATTTTCGTAGATTTTTCATATAAAATTTAAAAAAATGTAATCGATTTCGTAAATTATGAACGAATAAGAGCAATGATTTTAATAGAAACTCGTAAAATTATTTTAATCATGAACATTGAGTGATTGGGGTAGGTAGCACCGAATAGTTTCAACTATCGTCGTTTGGTTGTAAAGAATACGAACGACATTCCAGTGATGATACAATTAGTAGCTATGTCAAACAAGTACATCTACTTTCCGGAAGGTGATTCAATGCTCTTACAACCAGGCTCGACGATGACCAAATTAGTCGAGTATTTTGCGGACAAAGTTTGCGGCAAATTTAATGGACATATCAATTATGTGATTAATCATAATCACTCTTTCGAGCTCAATATTACAGCTTCCATTGTTCGCAAACAATTGTATGTCGATAATAAAGAAATTGAACTTGGGAAAGAATGGTCAAGAGGAGAAGTTTATCAACCAATAACTTCTATTGTTCGAATTATAAATAAATTGAATGCGAAAGTATGCTTTAGGTAAAATGTATTTCTCTCCCCGTGTAAACAACAATAATAATTTAAACAATGTTTAACAAAAAGATTGTTTCAAAATGATTGAAAGAATTATCATATAAAAAGTTATTAACAAGAGCACAGATTTTATTTTACTTTGATAAAGTAAAATAGCAATTTATTAAAATGTAGAGTAAAATAAATGGCTGCAGATTTCTTAGATAGATTGTTGGTTTAATATTAATGTATGAGTTCATACATATGATATATTTCCCTGAATCAATGTCTCTATAATAATAGAAGATTTTTAAGGTGTTTAATTCTAAAGAATAATTCAATCGTTTTCAAGCACTTGTAATCTTAATAATAAATCTTGTAGAATACTTCGAATAGTTTAAGTGTAATGCAAAAATGATAAATTGTCGCAGGTGGGAAATACCAGCGATGTCTGGATTCTATATAGAACCGAAATCGGGTTCCGTGCGGAGTAACGCTACTTTATACGCTTACGTGTACTACGAATACAATAACATGAAGGATAATTACACTCCAGCGATACTGATATGCGAGAGCGGAAATCGCTTGTCTCTGCGATTTAGCGCACCGCGATTTGTGCCGAAGGTTGGATTCGTAAATGACATCACGAATCTCGGGGAAATACCTCTCAATTTGCCAACGAAGGTGATCGCCGTTCTCCAAAACTTTGAATTCACCCAGGTGACGTATGAGGTGGATAGCGCTTTATTGATACGCGGTTGCAACGTTAATCCACTGCGAGGGAAAATATCTCCGCGCGGTATTGCAATTCTTGAGGTAAGTTCTCCGTCAGTCGTAATAATATTTCGTGATACGCAAACAATATTCATTACCGTTTGTCAGATATATCTTACATTCGACGTTTGTTGTCGCTTTACTACCGTAATTGCCGTTACGATTCAAGAGTGCCTACAGTTACTGTATAAGATAAATGGCAATGTGTCATTTCCGCGATTGAAGCTCGTGCCGCAACGAATAGACATAAAACGTCTCAGAATCGATGCTCTTCAAACTCACCAGATAACAGCCACGAATATTGGGACAACGTTATTGAAACTCCAAGTTTTGTTGGAAGAATATCCCGAGTTTCGCGTTTCTCTGTTGGCAAATGACAGGAGTTCGGAAATAGGTAATGGCAATTTAAAAATAATGAAATAAAAAAGTATCTCCTATAAATGATTAGAAAGGATGAGAGATGGTAAAAAATAGGAAATAATTAAGCGGAGTATCCTAAAATAAAGCAAAAAATATTTCCAATGAAGGAATAGTAATTACATTCAATTAGAATTTTGTTACAATTAGCCCTAATCTATTATACAATAGATATAATAAGATTTTAAGCTTTTTGCTCAAAGCTCTGAGCTGTGACGTTAATTGGCTTTATCTTTTAAATTTTACAATTAAAATCTGGTCAGCCTGTTTAAAGCTTAAGGATTACGGCAACATCAGAAACTTTTTGCTGAAAATGTCACAATTTAAAAGTTTAAAGCAAAAAGCTGAAGAATTCCTTAGACTATAATTATCGATCGCAGTTTAAGAAACACAGATTTATAATAACTAATAACTTGAATAACTTGAAAAATTATGAATTTTATTTAATAAATCGGGTAATTTAACTGCTGATTTATATATTCAATAAATAAAAAGGTACGGAAGGGATAATCATCGTCCCAGGTACAAGTCAAAACCTCTATTTGCATTTTCAACCAGTCGATTTAGCCAGTTGCGCTTTCTATCTGCCGATTGTGATAAATGAGCTGCTTGGTCCAGTATCGATGTTGCATCCTAAAAGCATTCGGCCAGCAGAAATTTTGAAATCGCATGAAGCTCATTACATGCACTTGTCAGGTTTTTCCATGACGACGTTACCTGATAAACTACCAACTGTATCTATCGATTATACCGTGACTGACCGCATTATTTTCTTCAGCAAACTTTTGTTTCGATTCAACGCTTCGACTAACAAAGTAAGATTTTACATGAACGAAATAAAAAAGAATACAAAAAATAGAAACACAAATAATTGCATATAAAAAGATTCATGCAGAAATTTACTTAAAAAAGTGTAGAAAAAATTTCTATACAACGAGATAAAATATTTTTATCTTTGTACACATAATAAAAATTTTATATTAAGCTATTTTATTATACGATTAAAAATTTTTATATCTAATTAAGGCATTTCAAGTTCATATTTTTACTCTTTAGCTGTCTGAAGAGTTGTTTATAGAGAATCGAGTAACGGTGAGGGAAATATTAATATCAATAAATATCGAGGAGTTTAACGAAGTTGATTGTCCGTTTACCATAAAATGGTCTCACGGTGCGGAGATCAGAAGAACAACAGATGCGATCGAGTGCATTTTACATCCTGGCGGTAACGTCTCTTTCATTCTCGAGTTCAAGCCGAGAAAACGCGGCAGTTTTAGTGCAGAGGCACCGATATACATTCGCGGTGAGCTCGACGACGGCGTCTTCAATAAATTACGTCTCGACGGCGAGTTTCCCGCTAGTTCGATAGACGTTGAGCCAACGGAGATATATTTTACGCCTGTTCCTCTCGGCGTGGCTATAGAGGAAAAGTTTAGAATTCGAGCAAAGCACTTTGATAACACGACGTTTATACGGTCAAACTTTTTAACGACGCCGCGATGCAGCGGCGATTACAAAAACGAGTTGTTGCGCGTTGACTTTCCAAACGGTAATGTCGTCTCTCCTCAATCGTGAGTTGGAGTATTTTCTTATGTTATTTATATCATTAAAAATATTAATAAATAATTATAATTTAATAATATTTAGAAAATATTAGGATAGAGAATTATTTTTTTCAATTTGTCAATTAACAAAAAACAGTATTCTATATGTAAGAATATTTAAAATTGTTTTTGGTTACAAGGTATGTAGAACTGGAAGCAAAAGTAACGTTCAAGAGTAATCAACCAATATCGTTTTGCTTAATTATTGAATTTTCGGACGATAATCAACTTGCTATGTGTTTTTTAACGATATATGCAACAGCGGATAATAATTTGTTAACGACGTACATGTATTCTATAAAGCCCAGCTTTGATAAGACACATGCCAGATATTTAAAAAAACATGTCGTAAATCCACCAATATCATCGGAAAGCCTAATAGGTGGCGGCGATTGTGACATTGAAGAAATTCCTAATGCCCGCAGAGTGTGTTTTTATTTTTTCACTTTTTGATTTGCCAAATATTTCAGAATAGGAAATGATTATCGATATAATTTCACTAAATTACAATTTTGATATGAATGAGTAAAAAGTCAATGACATTGTCAATGAAAAGTCAGTGAATTCTGACATAAATTAAGGGGTTACACTACCCAGAAAATGTTTTTTTTTTTTAAATTTATTTATTTGCTAAATGATGTATAAACTATTTAAAAATAACATTCGAAAAGAATTTTGGTGGAAAGCTGTTATAAATAATTTTTTCATTTTTTTCGGAAGCGCCTCTGAGCGCTCCGAAACGTTTGAAAAGGCCGCTCGACCGCGCACAGGATTATAAGGGTATTACAGCTCTGTCGGTAGTTTTAGCAGGTATAAGTGAATTATAGTTCTTCAATTATAGTTCTTCAAGGTCATGTACAAAAAAGGCTTGGAACAAGACTACGCAATTTGAAAAAAGAAGTGAAAAATCTTTTTTCGACGCGCTTGGGTAGTGTAACCCCTTAATAAAAATAAGTAAAACCTGTTTTGTGTGTTTTCTGATAAATTAAATTTTGAATTTAATTTATCAGAATGATACATCAATCCTATTCTAATTTTTATTCTTTAGAACTGAGGAATATTATTATAATTTTATAATTTATATTTTTTAGCCTTTTTTATAATACTTATTTAAAAAAAAAAACTTAAATATACACTGACATATATATTTAGATACATATGTTACTGTACCTGCCATAAGTTTTGAGAGCAGTTTTGACATTTTGATGTAAATCAAAATCGTTTAACAATTAATAATAATGCGATTTCTGTTTTGGATTTATTCTTTTTAAATTGTTTATATGTACACTAAAGGTCATCTGATAAAAGTCGTTTGCATTACGTTTGTTTTATTTTATAATGATTATGTATCCTATTTTATAACGATTAGTGTATAATTACGAAGCACTAGCTTGGCTGTTTATAGTTGTTACT